CTATAGGAAGGCCAAATTTGAACTGGGGTCCAAGATTAGAGAACTGGGAAATAGAAAATTAGGTTCTTAAGTAGAAAAACATATTAACCAAACTGCTGGGTATTAGACATATTGGAGAAAAGGAATATATGCTCTGAAAGTATAGACCAAAAGAAGAATAGCCATAAGGCACCTAAAGCCTGGGCAAACCAACTCTTCTGAGTTGTTGGCTAGAAGTAAGAGAGACTAATAAAGAATCCAAGTAAAAAGACAGTTGAAATATAGGTACTGGGTTATTGTGAATCTATACAAGAGCAAGAGTAAGTAATAGGCAACTAATTAGAAAGGTTGTGACTTGAGATACAGATTGGGTTATGGCAGCATCTTAAAGAATAATTTGAAATACAAACTTGGTACAACAGGTACTAACTAGAAAAAAGTTACTAAATATACAGATGAATATATGTGTAGAACATGTATCACTTTGTTGAATTTACTCTTAAAAATAATTAAATATTCTAAGTTGGCAAGTAAATATAATAGTATTGCAAATTTACTATCTATATAGTGAGTTACACCCATGTTAAGTAGAGTTAGGCCAGATATATTAAGACCAGAAGACTTAAATAAGTAACTCTATTGTTGGGTTACAGATATAGCAGATAGTGTAAAACTCTTAGCATAGCACTAATACTTTGGGTGAACTACTTAAATTAGACACCAAAAGTACACATGTGGCTTAATATATTTTTGTTATAATATATAGTGTTTAAACTTGCTTAATAAAATCTTGCCAATGAAAAGAGTTATCTTTAAAATAAAAATAAAAAAATATATGCATACAAATTTAAAATATATTTGAATTGAGGGACAAAATATGAAGTCAAATTAAATTAATTTACTATCGGTAGTCAAACTTTTTCAAATTTTAAATAGTTTACAAATGCGCTGTAATGTTAAGGTCAATTAGTTTTATTAAATTATCATAATTTCTACCATGGTTATTTGTAAAAAAAAAAAAAACCTGCCTGGTTACCACATTATATAGTTAATTGAGTTTGTTGCATTAAAATTTTCAAAGAAGATTGTATCGCATAAACAAATTAGGTAAAGAGAAGACATCAAAATAGTAAATGCTTAATGGCCATTTTCATTCATTACAAGTCATTGTCTGACATTACAGTACACAAATGACAATATATATATGCAGCAAATAGAATGCCAGTAATGTCGGGTAAGTGACTTGTAGTGAAAATAACACGCAGCTTTACAGTGCTAGCCGGGTTAAAACAGGCACACGTTAGGGCTTAGTATCCTTAACAGACGCATGTTAGGGCTTAGTATCCTTAACAGACGCATGTTAGGGCTTAGTATCCTTAACAGACGCATATTAGGGCTTAGTATCCTACCATATCAAAGCCATAAGCCGAGCAACCAATCAGAACATATTCTTCAGTGACAATAGCAGCCCCAGGCAACACTATACGTAGAGAATGTACAACATATTATCTACTTTTTTATTGCACGACAATCGAAAGAATGAAAAAAAAGATCAAATTCTTTCGTTACGATTTTTCGTTATGGCCTTTGACGATCACTGATTATCAATTCATCATACCGGTAAAAAATCAGAAGAAAAAAAAATACCAAAATACTAAAATACCTCAAAAAGTGCAAACATAAACATAAAGTAAAATAGACACATGAACGCAAAAGGAGGATTTTTTAATAGAATTCAGTTATTTTTAACCGATCCAAATTCTTTTTTTTCAAATAATTTTCTTGCTATATATCATACTTTTCGTCATTGATTTTGCGTGACAACGTCGCGCAGTTACTTATTGATCGTTGTATAAGTATTCCAATCAATATGATTATATCCACCGAGAATTTCATCAATGCCCTTAACTTTCATAACTGCAATAAGATGAATTTGCTTATTGCATAAATTCCAAAATGAAGTAGCAGTAAACCATTTCTTCTTCCACGAAATAATTTAAATTTATTTGATGCGGATTATCGTTACTAGATATTTATCACCTTTCATATCAACCCATGAAGCAAATTTTTCTGCATGTAGCTTTATTAATAACTGTCGCGGCTGATGCTGGAAATTTAATTATTTTAATATGAAATTTTCAAAAATTTTCGGGCCTTTTGTTAGGGAGGTTTTTTTAGGGTTAGGTTAGGGTTTAGAGGTAGTTTTAATTATAGGTAGATTTTGGTAGGATTTATATTTTTAAATCAAGGTCCCTAATTTCCAGCTTCAGCCGAGACAATAACTGCTGAAAATGGTCTACGATCTTAGTTGATAATATCGATGTTAAGATTTTAAAGTTATTAGAGGCTCATACATTATGAAAATAACGAATATGAGGCAACCAATTTTTTTTTCTTTTTAAAAGTGAACCTTTAAGCCATAAAGTTCTTATGTGACCAGTTTTCAAGATCGAATGGTAAGCAGGATTTTTTTGCAATTCCCATTTTATTATAATATGATTTCAAATTTTCTTTTTTTAATTATATTATAAATTATCTCGATTGATAAGTGAAATCTTCAAAATTAAAAATCTCATTAAGTTCAATATTATTATTACGCCATTTTTATAATTCTTGAAGTTTATATTCAGCAAACTTTTTTTTTTTGATAAATTAAGTGAGCTTGGAAAATGATGGCCAATTTTTTGAAAAGAAATTCATAAACAATAAGCATAAACTCAAAAATAAATGACGTGACATGCTTTCAAGTAAGGCTATTCCTATATATATCTGTATAAAATTTGTATACATGTACTTGCAGCATGGATTATAATAAGGCACAGTATAAAATAGCTTGTTTGATAAAAATTCAAATCGTAGATGTATGTACAGTATGTACGTTATTTTAGGTGCTATAATGAAATTATTCTTAGTGAATTCAATTTTCATCATCCTTATATGATATTAAATGTGAGTGACGCATATAATCTCGATTGATTTGCATTTTTATAGAAAAAAGTTTTATTAACAGAAAAATTCTGCTAAAAAAAAAAGAATTAAGAAAAAATTTATTTAATAAATTTATTAAATTTGTTGAATAATTCTATATGAAAAAAGTTTATTGCTTATTTCATTCATAAACAAGCTCATCAATAGATGTATAATTTCGTTAGCAAATTCTTTTTATGCAAAACAAAAAAAAAAAATTTTTTTATCGCATATTTACGACGATTATACTCAGTGACTAGACCAAATTTAAATTAATTGATTTAACAAGTATTTTATTTAAATTAATTGATTTAACAAATATTTTATTTAAATTAATTGATTGAAAAAATATTTTATTTAAATTAATTGAATTTATGTATTTACAAAATATAAGAAAAATAAATGCTCGCGTTTCTATATTTAATTTAAATTAATTGAATTTCAAAATATAACATATTTCACTCCCATAAAGAATAAATTGAATAAATATAATTAATAGTTTTTCGCTAATCTTAAATTTAAAATCTGAATAGGAATTGCAAAAAAACAGTTGAAAAGAAATGTAATACACAGTATATATCTTATCTCATAATGTTCATTAGAAATGTCCATAATTGATTTTCGAAATTTCTTTTTCAGAAATGGATTCCAGGTTTTCGCTCTGATGTCGAGAAAGCGAACGTCCAAACCGTCACCAAGTTTCTGTATGACGACATAATCTGTTGCCACAGATGCCTGACCGAACCCATTCTGATCATAATCATAGTTGATATTTCGTGTAACGAGGTCAGATATGGCGTGATCGGGGTTTTCTGATCTAAAGTCCAATATGTGTAATCAGTGACACAATAATTACCAATATAAAAGGTCGATCAGAAAGTTTAAAGTTACCTTTAGCTAAGATTATCCGTATGTCTTCGCTTTGGTGGTAGTACCTGTACGATACGCCAGTTAGAGGAAAAGCCGAGCGTGAAAGGATCCATAAATTGACACTATGAAGTTCTCGTGGGACCAGTCTTCAGGATCGAATTGTAGGCAGGATTTTGTTATTCCCTCATTTTACAATTTTTAATTCTAATGTGTCGGTATTGTCTTCGCTTCGGTAATGGTACTTGCATGATATGCCAGTTAGAGGAAAGCCAAGCATGAAAGAATCCATAAATTTGAGCAAGTAGATGCTTAGCTACGTGACACTACGAAGTTTTCATGGGACCAGTCTTCATGATCGAATTGTAGGCAGGATTTTTTTTATTCCCTCATTTTACTATTTTACTATAACATACAAAAAAATTTTTAATTATAATTGTAAATTATCTCAATTATGATAATTTTTATCAGCATTATCCAAATACTATTACGCAATACAGCTTTCACAAAATCGAAAAAAGAAACTTCTGTGCTAAAAAGTTACATAATACTACTGTGAACAAAAAAAAGATAAAATAAAAAAAATTTTCGAATCGCCAAACAACTGTAACTTTTTTCAAAACTAAGCGATAATGAATTTCTCTCAGGAACCAACTGAAAGATAAACAAATTTCCCAACCAAAATTAGATCACCAACCAATTCGAGGTGCTTCATCTTTTTATGTACTGTTTAAACTATCGTGATTTTCTAAAAAAAAAATAATGAATCAAGATTAACGTCTTTAAAAATGAATAACTAAAACAGAATGTGGACCGAAAAAAAAAAAAAAAATTACCTTAAGAACAGATTGTAGTAGACCCCTTCTTCAACAATCACGAGTAAACACTTTTGTTCTGCGATAAAGAGGAGAGGAAGTGATACGGGACAAAAATCTCAAAGCTTTTTCTCAAAACTTTCCAAGATAAACATATAAATTGGACATAGACCTCGTCACTACTAGACTGAATTTAATTAGAACACCCAAAATGTTAAGTGTGCTATATATCTAGATAGGAAACCAAATTATCAAGACGGCAACAAATAACGGAGTCGTAAAAGCGATGTTCAATAAAGATCCATTTATCCAGCCGGCAAAATCAGATGTATCAATTCTTCTATTGCGGTCAAAGAAATCTTGAACGGGTATTTAAAGCTTGAACTTTGGGGGATTTCTTTCCACTTTCATAAATTTTTCATTTAATACATTGTTTTTCTTTGGTTTTTGGTGAATTAGACGTCTAGCGATTTTATCTTGTTGCTCATTTATAAGGTCAACCAACTCTTCAACCAAGTCAGTCACTTCTCCAGTTTCGGCATATACCATGTTACGTGCTACCCACTCTAACGTCTTGTTGTTTTCTTGAACAAAGGAGATAAGTGTATCTAAAATTTCTTCAACGTCTTTATTTAACAAAAATCAAATCAGATTAATATTATACATTCAAGGCGAAAGAAAGCTCAAATAATATTTTTTTTAAAAAAAAAAATTATTTACCGTCCCCAGTTTCTTGATCTTTGTTTTCTCCTAAATCTATATCCAGAACTATATATCGAAAAAAAGTTTAGATGTAAGTTCGAATAAATCAAAAAAAAGGTAAATAATAAAGCTTAATTTACCAAGCGCCTTTTCAAAAATTTTTGATAAAAGAAAAAGGACGATAAAGCAAATGATTAAAGAAAACATCTTTTTTTTTTCGTATAAGGTTTTGTTAGGTTTAGGCTGAGATTTTTTTTTTTTTGTATGTGGTTACGATTTTTAGAGGTTACGATTTTAGAGGTTTAAAGGTAAGAAACTTTTAAAAAGTAAGGAACTTGTGAGGAAAAAAAAAAGACACTTTATATCAACATTCGAAATTATCGATAAATAACGTCACGTAACTTCAATATCTAGAAAAAAAAAGTCATTTGACATTATGGTACTGCCTTATTTAGCAAGCACCATACGTATTAGGGAGTGCATAATTTCTTTTTATAAGAAGGCCAGACTCCCTCCTAGATGATCAATCATAAAGATTTTAAAATTACGTAATAGACGGCACTGTTCTTACCGTGACCAGAAGCATATTCACATGAATTTATTCATGACAGAGATGTTTCATAAAGATTAGTGGTATTGGATCACGCCATCGTTACTTTAGGATGTCTAACATTTAACACGCTAACTTTTTAGGAGGTGGGGATCAAAAAATTTTTATTTAAGAATATTGATAATACCCACGTAAGAATATCGATATACTATATGTGTTTTACAATAAATTACCGAGTCGGTAACAAAGTTACTACTTCGGTCAACACTAAGGATTATTATAGTACTTGTAAAAATTTGCGTTTATAAACTAACTACTGTATTAATAAAAAATGGTTAACATATTGAAGTACATTAAAATTTCTCCGAGTAGATCTATGTTGCAAAATTTGCAAACACTCGTTATAATCAAAGGTGTTTCAACAATATAAGAAAAAGAATATTCTTTTGAAAAAAAAATCGATTAAATCGGTTTTAGTTTTTACCCGATATCACATAATATATAGCGAAAAACAAATATTAATTATGTGGAAATTGAATTCTGGACTTTAGATAGTGATAAATTTTGTTAACTTCGCTAAATAAGAAAAGATCAAATAGTAAACTTCTATATCTCATGCTCAGCAGGGATGTTAATCGACATCTTCGACTCTATTCATCATAATCCGCTTCTTCGACTCTATTAATTAATGGTTTTTACTATAACAAATATACGAGCAGGTTGAATATATCATCTACGGAGTAAAATTTGTAACACAAGAAAATTGTATCAATTGCTAAGATCACGATCAGACGTAATTTTCAAATGATAACGATAAGCAAAAATTGCGCAGTGATATACGTAATTTGCTTTTTTTTTTCTATTTAAAAACTTGTAATGAATAATAAAAAAGTTCTGCCCTATTAATATTATACCAGAAATTCTGATATTTACATAGAGTTTGTGCACTGACGAAACCACCTTCTATGATGATTAAAAATACTTGTGAGATTTTATCTTTGTACAGTATCAGTATAAATTTTTTGCCGATCTTTGCCTATTGGCGAATCTGCGTAATTACTATTAAAAATTTCAAAATATTTGACAAAGAATAACTTTTGGCCCACTAGTCCATTTTAGATGATTTTGCCACCAAAATGACCGTCTCAGAGGGGCGATTCTAAAGAGCCAAAAATCATCAAAATCAAATCACTGAATCCTGAGATCGCTAACGGTTTGTTCACATCGGGTAAAATAGGATGGGTTTAACCCATTCTATTTTATCCGATGTAAGCAAAACGGTAATTTCCAGTGATTCGATTTTGATGATTTTTGGCTCTTTAGAATCGTCTCTCTGAGACGGTCATTTTGGTGGTAAAATCATCTAAATAAACTAGTGGACCAAAAATCGAAATTTTCAATAGTAATTATGCAGATCCGCCGATAAGACAAAATAAACTAGTTTTTTGTCTCATTTTGATAAGCGATTTTTGGATTTTCTTTGTCAACATTTCTTAATTTATGTATTATAAACAAAAAGCCATATCTAATCATTAACCTTTTTTAAAACATTTCTTAGAAATACCACTGTATTTAAATTTTGAGTTATGCGCACCTGATCGACAATCAGACTGATCAAGTGTAATGTGAAATCGAAAAAAAAACAACGATATTTTAAAAAATCACTTGTAGCTCATAATTTTACCTACAAAACCTCCTTTCATGTTCTAACAAAAAAAATTACTCGTCAAATTTTGAGTTAAGACTTTTCTTTAAGGATCTACCCGAACCTCAGAGGAAGAAATTCGTTTGATTGGCGAGTGTAGATCAATTGCCCAGGTAACTGATTTATATGTTTTTACAGTACTTTTTAAGAATGTAACGTTTCATCACTCCAAATATCATTAATAACTTCGGCGAAGTACTAATGTTCAATGTACAAAAGAATCAAAAAAAAGATCAGAATCCCGGAGAACTTCACTTAGAAGACTGAGCACGTTAGATTTATATTACTATTTAATTTGAATAGGAATATGCTTATAGTAGAAAGAGGTTCGGGTTTATTACTTGAACATATTTTGTTTTTGCAACTTGTTTCGGGTAATGAGTTTTGACCTACAGATTGTATATTGTATTAATAAGCTTGAGCTTATTCATAATAAATATCATTTTTACCCATTTTACAAGTTCCACCTATTCTTTAAATATATGAAATTCATTAATCATATCGGCGGATTTACGGAATTGAAATTGGACCCTAAAAATGGTCCCCAAAATATGATTGTTTACAAAATTTTATTGGTCAGATGATGATCAGATGATCGACATATAACTGATCTAGGGACCTCAGTTTCATGCGATGCGATGCGATGCGCATAATTGGCCAATTTTTGGCATAGCATATGCGAAGCATAA